CTAATGAATTACTGTACCTGCAGCAACTCTGAGGTCAGTGGAAGAAAGGAATTCAAAATCACCCTGAGAGATGCAGGCAGCATAAGGGAAAATGATCTAATCCCGGGGAGGGACCCGGGAAAGGATGAGAATGACTGCGCATCATTAATTATTTTCTTTGAAGTCCTCAGTGATTGTTTTCTAGCAAGACAGTCCGTGTACAAGACTTTGCTATCTGTATTTCACGGACAAAATGGAGATTTGTCAAAGCCTTCCATTTGTTTTACAAAATTTACAGGGTTGGGGAAACGGAAGGAGTCTCGTTTGCTTTTCTCCCTGAAATCTGATGTAAGGAAAGTCTGGGCTCACCTGGGACATTCTTCATAGGAACTGGGCCTGCGCAGGCTCAGGCTCCTGGGAGCCGCCTTCTACCCCAAACTCTGCCCAGCCGGTGGTTGCCCAGGGGGCCTGGCTCCTCGGCCAGCCTGGGCAGGGCAGGGCCAGGTGGGCAGCTCCGAGCCCACAGGCTGGTAGAAACCGCCTGAGTCTTGTTGCTATGGGACTGGTGTGTCTCTCTCCATCTCAGTTCCTTAAACTGCCGCCCACATCCTGCCAGCTGGGGAGGTCCAGGCTATGGAATTCACTCACTCATTCATCAATGATTTAGTGAACCCTACTATGTGCCATGGGCTGTTCTATTGAACAAAACAGATCAAGTCCTCCTTTGGGAAAGCAGACATTCCAATAAAGGGAGAGACATTAGACAAAGAAGAAAAGCATACAGTGTGTCAGTTGATAATAAGTACCAGGAAGATCAAGAATGATGCACAAGAGGATGGAGAGGATGGGGTGGCGGGAAAGGATGCGGTGTTACAGGAGTGGTCTGGAAAGGCCTCTCTGAGGGCTAACATCTCAGCAGGGATCTGACTGGGGTGGGGGGGGTGGAGTGAGGGAGCAAGCAAGAGAGCTATCAGAAGGGACAGTGTCGCAGGCAGAGGAAACAGCGTGAGCAAAGACCTCGAGTCTGGAGTTTGCTCAGTGGGTTCCAGGAACAGCACAGAAGCCAGCACACCTGGAACAGAGAAGGTGAGAGGAAGGGAAGGTGGTAGGAGACGGATCCGACAGGGGCCAGGAGCCACAGCTTAAGAACAGGCTGGCCACAACGTGAGCCGCAGGCCAACTCAGTCAGCAACTGCAGGCGGAGTGCCCCATGCCTCTGGCCAGCCCTCCACGTCCCTGCTGGGCTGAAGGGAAGAGCACAAAGCACTAATGGCTGCGAAAGACAGTGGCACTTTAATATTCTTCTTTTTCCCCCAAAAAAATTGCTGCACATTTAGAGAATATTAAAAATGCAGGAAAGAGCCATAATGCAAATACAGAAAAGTAAAAATATCAGGTAGCTGGGATTATCAATGTTTCCTCCAGTTTTCCTTCCAACCATCATATAATGCCACTATAATATGTTTATTTTATATATATATATATATATTCAACCAAAAGTTTTCTCAAAGAAAAATAGCATTGCATTCTTTTTTTAAAAAATATATTTTTATTGATTTCAGAGAGAAAGAGAGAGATAGAAACATCAACGATGAGAGAGAATCATTAACCAGCTGTCTCCAGCACGCCCCCAACTGGGGATCGAGCTCACAACCTGGGCATGTGCCCTTGACCGGAATCGAACCTGGGACCCTTCAGTCCACAGGCTGAAGCTCTATCCACTGAGCCAAACCAGCTAGGGCACATTGCACTCTTTTAACACCCCTTCATTCCTTTTATTTGCACTCAAAATAAATTGCGTTGAAATCCAACCTCCATGAGATGAGATGCCACTCGTCCTCAAAAAACTTTTGAGTCACTGGAGACGGCTGTGGGAGCTCGGGTAGGTTGCTCACCCTCTCTGAGCCTCCGTTTCCTCATCAGAAAATAGATATCACATCCATGGGATCTTTGTGAAGAGTAGAGACGATGTGTGCAAAACACCTGACCCATGTGAAGTACGAAATGAATGGTGGCTGCTTAGAGCTATCGGCAAATAGGCAAATTCATTCCATCGACAAATACTGAGCCTCAGTCTGTGTGGGCACTTTCCCTGTTCTGGTAACACTGCAGTAAGCAAGGCAAAAAATAACTTAACTTTTATCTTCTTTTCCCAAATTCCAACTGTCCAAAAAGACAGCAGTCAATCTAGGAAGCACAGGCACTATGCAATCCCACTCTGAATGCCAGCGTCCCCGGCATGTGCTGGGAAAGTGGGCAGAAAGCAGGCTGCCAGGACACAGGGCTCCCGCGGCTCCACTTTGCGGTGAACTGCTTGGCTCCCCAAGATCTGTCTTCTCCCTCTGCTGCCGTCCCTGCTGCACCGGGAAGTCCCTCCTCTGGCTGAAACCCTAGGAGTGTCACCATCGTTATATAGACAGTGGCGTGGCTCAAAACGCACTCCTGGGAGAACGGGCCTCTCTCAGCCCTCGGGATTCATTACTTCATGTTCCTGAGCTGTTCACCGGCCACACACTCAGCCCAAGACAGCCCGCCACGGCAGACAGCAGACTCTGCTCCTGACACGCAGTGTTTTATTAATAAAAGCACAGGAGGTCACACTGTCCACCCTGATAGCACCACTTCCCAGCAGAAAAGTGATAATGGTTTCAACAAAAGGGAAGCCTCGTCCTCATAGGAAATTAACCATTTGTGGAGACCAAGAACCATTCCAGGTGGCCAGCTGGGGCTGGACTGACAGCCACTATCTCAGGGCAGCCACCTCGCAAGCACCTCTGTGGACAGACAGACAGACATCAGGCTCAGTGCATTTATCACAGCAGTGCGGCCAGGCAGGTACCACCCATCCCGCTGTTCAGGTGGGGAAACCAAGGCCAAGTCCGAAAAATCGCTTACCCACCTGGAAAGAGGACGGGTAGGTTGGAGAACCTATATTTGGGGTGTTTTCACATCTTCCACAACCTGGTTTTACTCATTGTTAGAAATAATGGACAAAAGCTTCCAGTAATGTAACCGGCCAGGATACCTAGCAATGTAGTTCTGTTCAGGAAACTTGGCTGGTTTAGAGGGAGAGCTATTTGGTTGACTCCCTGTTTCTTCTCCCCCCTCCCCTCCCCGCCCAGATTCAGGAACAGCTGGTGCCTGAGCACAACAACTTCAAACCACAGAGTCATCCTTGGAGTGAGATCAGGGCAATGTTTTTCGAAGGGTAAGAGGCCACATTGACCAGGAACGTATTTTTTAAATATAAATCTGATCCGGGCACGTTATGCCTGGCAGGCCTCCCCCACTTACTAACCTAACGGGGGTGAACTGTCCCTGGACGTGTTTTCTACAGACACGTCTTTCACCAACAGGGGCTCCCTGGACCTGCCAGGCAGGGTCCCTGCGCAGGAGGCGTGGTTTCGTGGGAGTGAAATTCCCCATCAGGCCCCACCCACCCCAGCCACACATTCGCACCAGCCCCTTCCACCTAAACTCCAGAGAATACTTGGGCTTTTCCTCCGGGTTTGCTTGCGGTGAGAATACCGAGTGGGTCTATTGTGTTGGAGACATTAAAAACCAGCCAAACTCTCCAGATTTGAGGTTTTAAGAGACACCTTAGAAAGGCAGGAAGAACTAGTGGCCCAGGGTTTTCGGGAGAGGTGGCCTGGGGAACTCGTTCCCCTTCTCCCGGCCTCAGTTTCCCCTTCTTAAAACGAGGGGGGTCCAGGCTCCCCCCGGCGTGACAAAGGAATGGTCTCGGGCCCTCCCGCCGCCCCCCCCTAGGACGCGGTTCTCCCGGAGCGCCTTCTGGGCTCCGAGCGGAACTCTCCGGGGAGTGAGACAGCCGCTAGCGCGCAGACCTCCCGGGCCTCCCGGACCCGGCCAACACCCCGCCCGGACCAGCCGACGAACCCCCATCCCGGCCCTGCCCACCGGCGGCCCTGCCCACCAGCGGGTCTCAGAGCTCCAGCGCCGCACCCCGCATCCCTCGGGTGGGGCTCTCAGCCCGGCGTGCGAAGGGCGTGGCGGGCCGGGTCTGACTGCTCTGGTAGCCGCACCATGCCGGGGATCCTGCTCCCAGCAATCGCCGACCGTGTGACAGGCCGCGTGTCCAAGTCTCCTGTTCTGGGTGGTGGGATACCCTAAGCGCCGATCCGGAAAGAACC